TGATTCATTTTTGTTAGATGTCATCTGCTCTGCCATACCCACCCCGACAATTAAGATGGTTAGCGCGTCCGAATAGGAAACCTCCGTGCCCAGGTATGAGTCGCGGTGGGTATGGCAGTGCAGATGACATCTAACAAAAATGAATCAGCTATGCAGTGCTTCCAAGGTTGCATGACAACTTTACTGTCGTAGATAAACTAAGTAACTCAAACCATTTCACAACCGCATACTTAAGTTGCCTCCAACTGGATCCACCTCTAAAATGACCGATTTTGAGAATTATTTTCAATGCACATAGGTTATGGAAATTTCGTACCGAGCAGAATGGTCATGAGCTCCAGATAGGGTTCCACCAAGAGTGCGGCAGCATTGGAATTGCGACTTCGGGACGAACGCCTTTGTTTCAGGATTGCCTGATGGGACGCGTTACATCCACGAGCGAGCCACTGACGCTGAATGGGAAAGTAGTCCGTCGGTTGAGAATTGAGCCAGTCGAAATTGGAGGTGTGTAATTACAAAAGGCAAGCAAATTAGCTGAGTGAGCCGTACAACTGAGCTTAACCACATTCAGCGCGGGAAGAGGATCATATCAAACAGAACTTTGTCATGAAAGAATGTTTAGTTGATTCTACAGTCTATAAATGGATTTGTTTGACATAACTGCAAAAGGGTAGTGGTGGCCCGGTGGTAAAAGCCACCAAAATTATCACCCCGGAGAACGTGCGTTCCAACTCGACGACCACCACCTAACTTGCCCCACTTATGTTCTGTAAGTCCGAACTTTTTCATTGGGCGCTGCTCCCTTCCTGAAAATCATCAAACTCTGTCTGCAACAAAATTGAAAAAGAAAAAACATACGTGAGTAATGAAGCAGGGAACGAAAGTCTCCAAAAATGCATTGTTTGACAGCTGCCCTTTGTCCCAAACCATTTAAAAACTGATTGTAGTAGCCCAATGAAACAAGTTTGACAAATAAACTGGTTCACCCATAACATCAATAAGGGTGGTGGCGCAGTAGTTTAGTCGCTGTCACCGGTGTGCTTTGGACCCAGTGGTTTGAGGTTCAAGACCCGCTCCCGCCACCCAACTCTTGTGGTAGGCAGATTTGCTGTGGTCCAGTTTAATACCACACCTAATCTAGCAGGGCCTTATGTGGTTCGACACTCCAAGGCCCTGAGCTTAGGTAGCTGGGTTCCACCAATGAACAGCAGGTTTTTGCGACAATCAGGTCCACCCTATCTATATATATGTGTTTAATAAGAAAATTATTTCAATTTACCTCATCAACATTGAAATGTGTATCAAGACCAATTCCAGGTGTTCATAGAGTATGCTGATGCAATCGGAGTTTCTGGGACCGCATACTTTACAAACCGCAAAACCGATGCTTGAACGACGAACATTAACACACAGATACCAAACAGTGCGTTGAAGTACGAAGGGAGGAATGGTGTGGTGACCTGCCTCAGTCTTGCGAGTTCTCAAGCTTATAACTCGTTTGTTTGCTTTGTGCACACATCTTCGCATCTGTCAGTATTCAAAAGCGTCTCTTACTTATCATCCGAATAGACCATGTCCAATTGTCGCTAACATCCAGGTTTCAATCAATTTGGTACGATATTTGCAGAATGCATGGATCAGAATTTTACTCCGCCCACGATAAACAAAACATATTGCTATGGAATGGATAGTCGTGCATCACGAAACTCTTACCCACACGTCAGCGAATCCTAACTGCTTTCGGCAAAAACAATGACTGGATCCACTTAGCGATGATTCTCTCAAAGTTTTATTATGGGAAGTACTTACAAGCGGTTGATATTCTTGTCCCAGGGGGTTTAGCACAAATGGATCGATTTACGGTCCATAGAAAGATAAAGAATGTCACAAGTTTCCTTTGATTCATGCATTGCCCCGGATGTTGAAATTCAAAACTTGACAATGTATCATGCAGTCTGTGCTTGAAAGAATCAATTGTGGACGCAGAAACAACGTGAGGTAGTAGAGAATTCCAAATACTGTACACTATGAGGGTAAACGAATGACACCAGCATTACAATCGACAGTTTTGAAGCACTAATTCGAATGAGGTCTCCCTGAGGTGACTGTTGAGATACAAGGCGGAAAATGAACGAAATGGGTGATCAGGGTTCTACATTATTTAATACACCAAAATTAAGTCCCCTCAAATATGACGATACTGAGTGGACTGCTACTCAAGTGGCTCCAAATTTTCTTGGAATAGTCTTGGAATGCAGCCCCTTGACCATTTTGGTAGCCATTATTTATGGACGTTCCAGAATCTTACGATCGCGTTGTAGCCATGGAATCCATGCTTGAATAACATACTCTATCTGGGGCCGATAACAACCGTAGAAACAGCGTAGGTACGAGTTTGCCAAATACTCGCTTTAGCAAACAACGTTTTTATCGATGGGCGACGCCCTGGGGCGGTTTAAAAAAATAACTTGGGTCGTCTTGAACAATGATATTCTCATTCGAGGTACACGTTAGTTGGTGATTTATCGATCAAGTATTTACCGAGTGGCTGAACGCGAATGTTCTCTTCCTGCAATATTTACATTTTTCCGAGCATCGTCCTTTTTGAAAGTCGCTGAAAGATGTCCTGTGCTTCGAGATAAACGACTAGTCATTACAAAGTAAACTGTGTTATATCCGGAACGGAGTAGAATCTCGATTCGTTAAATTCGCAAATAGTGTACTAAATTAAATTGTGCTTAACATTCATATACTAAAAACTGTTGCGCTGAAATAAGGGTGATAGTTCACGAGCAAGTTGCAGTGTGGATTAGTAATCCATACTGTGGATGAATAATGGGATGTACGGGGTATCCGGTAGGAGTAGCACCTCTGACTCGGAGGTCCGTCGGCCCCTATGGAGCGTCCTCGGTTCTTTGGTTTCAACCAGGTGCTCAGCTCTCACCTGTGGCTTCAAGAAGCTGTTCTGATGCAACAGCGGCCACCCCGACAAACCGCTCGACAAGGGGAGCCAAATCAGGTTGAGGGTAACCGAGAGCTCAACTCGAGCCGAGTCGGTGTCTAACNGTCTAACGTACGTTTTCGGCGGACGAAGTCGGTTTCACTACTCAACGCCCGAGGCAATGATTCCGTATTCACCAGGGATGCATGGGCCCCTGTTCAGCTAGAAACTGTCAATGACGTATGATCCCACCAGAGGGCCACCGGCAACCATGCGCTACCTTCCTGCTGCCTTGCAGTCAGCACTTGGATGTGCAAAGGCTAGAGATGCCACCTCAAT